GATTGTGTTTTGTTGTTACCTTAGAATGAGCTGTTTTTTAAATTGAGAAGAGATTTGCATGTTTTACGGCTGTGGCACAGCAACAGTGGGCTTCAATGTTCTAAGTGAATACAGATTTTTGCTTATCGCTGCAGCCGAAACAGACGTGAGGGGGGTCATTGTCTAAATCCCATGAGGTCCCCTGGTGAATACTAGTACCGCTGCAAATAGGGCTTAGGGTCCTGAAAGTCAGGTGGTAGATGAATGTGTAGCACATCTGACTTTAGTATGGAAGATCAAAGTTTTGTTGACGCCTAATCCCCAACCGTAAACCAACATATTAACCACATATCCTGTAACCTATACTTTAACATATCTATGAATATTATATTCCATTTCTAACAATAAATCCTCCTGAATGTTACACACTGGAGCTGCAAAGGCCAGAATGCTTCCTGCATTTGCATTTAACATTGCACTGCAGAATCATCCAGTATGAACATAATTCCTGGAGATCCTGGGCTGGTGAAACCCTTATGTACACAGAATCAAGCAGTGGGAGTGTTTAATTTATCACAGCAATGTCAGGTCATGCTTGTATATAAAACAGAATTTAGGATCAAAATCCTTCAAGACCATTCACTTGTGTGAAGGTTCTGGGTTGTGATTGTAGTCATGTGTCACTGAAGGGGGAAAGAGCTGCGGCGGTTGGTGGCTTCAGTTGTGAAAGCATGAATTCAAAACCACGTATTCATCAGCACCACTCTATGATACTACACTATGACTACAGGTTTTGTGAAATAAATTTGATATTACAGTAAAGTGAAGAACTGAGTGAGAGGCACCAGCACAACACTGAGTTTGACTTATGGGTCTATTCATGTTACCTTTGTGTTGGTTATCATACTGATGTGCTGCATTGTAAAATGTCTTGTATATACTGTGTTCTAAGTGCAATATCGTATATTGAGTGTATGTAGATTGTGTGAGACTTTTATTTTCTTACTTATTCATGGTTACGGTGTCTTTTTAACTCCTGTTTAAGACCTTAGAATATAAAGCACGTGTAAATGTTGACTGGGCGGTATGTTTGCTACCGCTCACCTGATTTTTTTTTGCATGTGTTTAAGCGCAATCTCCAATGTTTTATAGCTCCATTGTGAAGTGCCATTCTTCAGTGATTCTCCCTGGCTACTGATGACTATCCAGTATATCTGATTACAGTGCTTGTGGACTTGCGGCTTGACTGAGGGAACATAAGATACAAAAAATCATTAACGTGCTTTAAGATAACAACTCAAAGAAATAAAATCAGTTTGAACACTTCATAAATGTGGACCTAGTTTTTAATGTGCATTTATTTTGTAAAACAAAACCTTGATCTAGCTCTAAAAAGGTAAATTATAGAGATTTCTTAAGATCTAACTTTGAAATCTGGATACAAGCATCATTTTGTAACACTACAACTAACCTATCATTGCCCAGTATGCAAATCCCACAAGTATGATGGTGGAAACTTGAAATCTATAACACACATTGAGTGACGTTTAAAGCTTGGGGCCTGTTGTTAAAGCTGCAGTAGATAATTTTTCTAAAAATAACCTTTGGTGAAACTTCACGATATCCTGACAGTACTACATGAGACAATAATTGGTTGTTTTTGTTCAGGCCTGGTGGATTCTTGCAAACGTCATTAGGAGCACTAGAAGGAGACAGAGGAACCTGATTGTTTTTACAGATTATCTGTCTCATGTTCTACTGTCAGGATTAAAGTGAAAGTTTCAGCAAATATAAAAAGTTACTTTTAGAAAAATGACCTACTGCAGCTTTAAACTTTAGTAACAAAATAAATTTGCATAGCAATAGAAAATTAACACAAGGTCCATGTGCTAGTTTATTTCTAAACTTCACATCTTTAAATTTTTTTGGCAGACGGAGCTTGTCGGAGCTCTGCTAATAAGTGGGTTCTTGAGTTTAAAGTAACAGAATGTATGTGCAATGCACTTGCCACTGGAAGTCGCACTAGAGCATCAGCATCTCCGACCAAAACAATGTGACAGGAACAAAATAAAACTCCAAAGCCAACTTTGTTAGTCTTTCCAACGATCTCCAGCTCTGGTTTGGTCATAAATCCCTAATTCACAGAGTTGTAAAAATATTTTTGAAAACGGCTGCAATGACTGCAACGTAAGCTAACTGTGCCCATCAAAGTCCGCCCAGGTTGCTCAGATTGTTATTCTATGTGTCTGACAATATTATGGAAAGGATCCATACAGAGATAGACCCTTTTTAAAAAAAACAGAAACAATATTACTATCACCAGACTCCATAGACAAAAACGATCATTTTATCTCACACGTCATTGTAACTTCATTAAAATACAGATATACAAATATCAGTCTTTATTGTCGTTTCATAGTATATACAGCATTGACAGCATTTTACATACATGAAACGAAATTTGTCCTCTGCATTTGACCCATCCTATATGCTTTACTATATACATAAAAAGCAGCAGTTAGGGGTTAGGTGCCTTGCTCGTGCAGTGCACAGGAGGTGGAACTGGCACCTCTCCAACCACCAGTCCACACTGCATACTATGGTTCATGCTGGACTTGAACCAGTGACCCTCTGTTTCCTAAGGCAAGTCCCTACAGACTAAGCTACTGTCACCAAAGTGGACAAAAACAAAATAAAACTCACCAAAACCATCTTTGTTAGCCTTTCCACTGTTCCAACACTAACAAGTAAATCCTTAACAGCAGTTTCAGGTTGAAAGGTTGATGGTTCGATCCCCGGCTCCTGCCACGTGTCGAAGTATCCTTGAGCACAGCATCGGTATGTGTATGTATCTGTTGATATTTGATGTAAACCTAAATGAACAACATATTCTATAGTGTAGAGTCTATGTGAGGAAGAAGACTTTCACTAAAAGTCAAATATCTATGTGTACATCAGTCAGGGACATCACCATTAGCAATAGAAACAGGCGGTTAAATGGTAATTAAATGATAATTGTGCTATTAGATTATACACAAGAAGATGGTCCCAGAAGAGCATAATTTCTTTGTGACTCAATAATTTTTCTTTTTAAAGTAGCATAAAGATAACTATATCTAAATGTAATTCTACAATCTTTGAATTTTTTTTTTAGAAATTGTTCTTCCATCTGCTAACCCAGCACCCACACAGCGTCACATAATTGAGCGATATATTGCTTTCACAGCCACATGTTTTTTAGTGAATGCATGCTTTGTTAGTAGAATCAGAATTAAGTTTATTGCCAGGTAGGTTTTTACACATACGAGGAATTTGTCTTAATGCATTGGTGCATAAAATATACAAATCACACAAAAATATACAAATCACACAAAAATCACAAGAATAAAGTACTTTTAAAATATAAATAAATAAAGACAAGAAAGACAAGAAAAAATAAGAAAGCTGTACAGAAAACGGGAGTGCATTAATGTAATGAATATATACAGGGTGGGTTTAAGAGTCAGTGTCAGTCAGGGCCTTGATGATGAGGCCAGCTGCAGATGGAAAGAAACAGTTTGGAAGGTTTTGGACTGCAGCCTCCTACCAGAGGGAAGTGTTTCAAAGAGTAATAGTATAGTATAGTATAGTATATATATATA